TTTCAATTTTATAAAAATAAAACAAATGCATTTAATGTAAGTATTTGAAAGTAAGAAGGATGTTATATTATGGCCTTTGGAGCAAGAGCATTGCTATGTTGCAAATACAGCAGCTTGTGCCGTCACAGGGTCAGTTAGCTTCATAGGCCAGTGAAGTAATGAATGCATTTCTTTAATTTTTAAACACACTTGTTTTGAAAAGGAGGAAGATTAGCTTGAAAAAAAATTCTTAATAAGTGTAATACCTATGTAATATGTTGAGAGAAATATAATTTCAGTTGAAAGAACCTGCTGGATTAAGATGTAAAAAGATTTGTTAAAAGCTAACACGCATAAAAGTGTTAAAAGCCACAAAGTCAAAGATGCTCCGTATTATAACCAACCCTGTAAAGTCACCTGCTGTGGGATTGTAGATGGCTGCACCCTTGTTCTAAAAGCCATACTAAAACATCAATTTTCTTATTAAAAAATAGTTATTAATACATTTTTAAAAAGTGTGCTAAATAATGCAAACCTGACTCACTGCTTTAATCTAGCAAAACCAAATGCATTCATGAATCGGTTCCCAATTTATTAAGTTTTCCCTACAAAATATTTATATTGATTATGTAGCACCAATTGGTCTCTCACACATTTGCATTTAATTTCTTGAAAATGTTTTAAAAGTACTTTTACTGCAGTTTGTTTTATTACATTACAGTGTTTCTTTAATTAAAAAAATGTATTGTTCCTTTAGAATAGTATCATGTTCAAGATACTGGAAATTAGTACCAATCTCTGCTGCAATTTTAAGCAGCAAATTTCCTGCTAACATTTTAAGCACTTTTGAGCACATTTTTAAACAGCACTGTTTTGCCATTCTGTTCACATGCTTAACAGAAATGACACTCAACAATGCTCAAATGTTAGCAGGAAATGGATGTTTTTAAAATTACTGTATGGATTGGTAATAAATTCCACTATCATGACAAGCCTAGTAGAAGCAGTACAGGCAAATCCATCGTGTTGGTCTACATTGAAGAAGGAGCACCATAGCAAGGCCTTCTTATAAGAAGCATTTGAATGTAAAATGTACTATAAACACAAATAGTCATGCTAATAAGCAACTAGTTAATAGGGTAATTGGTTCCTACTAAAGTGTTACTAAATTAAGCACAAGGAATTGTATTTTTTTCACCTCTGCATTTGGTCTCCTGGCCACTACAGGCTTTATTAGTGCCATTTAGAATATCAAACTTTACTTATTTTTCTTTCTCTATTCATAGGATGTAATTGTAGAGTCGGACTTCAGTGCAGAAGATGTTGGCCTGCTGACTGTCGTGTGTGAAGATGTCTAAAGAACCTCATTATGGATGCAATGTGGGCCTTTATACTGGAAGGAAAAGTGGTTATGGACTTTGCCACATGCAGTATGTCTCTTTTTTTGCTTTGATTTACACACTGAATTCGGACTACCCAAAGACTTTGAGCAATGCATTTGAATTTGTTCAACGTGTGTTGCTTTTGCTGGGAGGGAAGCGTAATGTGTTTTATTCGGCGAGTGCCTATATACTGCTGTGCTTTATGTTTAAAGGTTCAGGTATAATGGCATGTTTAATTACAAAGTGTTGCTTTTTAACATGTTGCTGTTTGCAGTGTTACATTTAGGACTGCAGCATTTTGGTGTTTAAAACACTTTTTTTTTTTTTTACCAAAAAAGTGTATTGTGATTTATAGGGTTGTCAAAAGTATTGAGTTTGGTACCAATCGGTACTGAAATAAATAAAAAAAAAAGTCCATCCATTTCCCACTAACGTTGCAAGAACTGATTGGCCATTGTGTTCACATGCTCAGTAGATATGACTGATTGGCTTTGAAGGTCAATTTTTTTTACCACACTTCACCACTGTTCACCAGGTGCAAAGATACAAAGACACTGGATAACTTCAAAGCACTGTCGATCAGTCGATTCATCACCAGATAGCTTATATGTTAGCTTCTAAACAAATCAGCTATCGACATGGCTTTGAAACACTTCAGTGTCTGTGTAACTTTGTTTAGACTCAGTGAAAAATGGTAAACCTATGACAGTCACAGCCAATCACAGTCATTTCTGTTGAGCATGTGAACACAGTGGCCAATCAATGGTGTTTAAGAACGAGCTCAGTAGCACTCAAATGCTGGTTGAAAATGGATATTTTTAATATTTCAGTATTGATTGATACCAAACTCAATACTTTTGACCACACTAATGTGATATTTTCTGTAGGAAAATCTAAACTACACAGTCTAACAAATTAGCTTTAAAGCTTAATATCTGTTCCTCTGTGAGTGTCTATATGCTGCCATGTTTAAGGTGCTGGTGCAATGGCATGTTTAATTACACTAATTCAAGTATCTTTTTTCCAAGTGTCAAGTATTTAAAGTTTTTTTGATAGATTTTCAAACCTTTTCGAAAACTTGTGTTTTAGGGTTGAACATGTTTATTATATTTTTTGTCTGTATTGCTGTTTACAGTATATTACAGCACTTTACAACAGGTTTTTACAAAACTGTATTGTGTACAAGTGTATTGTGATACTAAAATATCACAAGTGTATTGTGAAATTCTGCTAATTTTGTCAAATAAAATGTTTACATTTAAGACCTGTATAATGTCATTACTTGTAGGTTGAACTACATATTTTATGTTCAGTTTAATTGAAGAAAATGTGGAAACCGATTGCACGTAGTTTCTTTAGTTGACATTACTTAAAATGGTGGATTAAAACAATGTTGAGACTACTAGCATTCAAGATGTTAACTGAACATGGTAGAACAGTATTAGTTAAATAGAGTTAATAAAGTAATCTTACTATAAAACCCTAAGTAAGATTACTAAATAATGACAAGTATGTTAACTAGAATTTTCTATTAAACTTACTTAATTTTTAACAGTTAGTTTACTTCATAAGTTTTAGTTTTCTTACTTCAAGGCAATAATTAAACTTAACTTAAGATTTCCTTGTAAGTTTATATTGCAAAAATAAGGCAATCGGTTTCCAAACTTTTTTTAAGTAAACTGAACATGTTAGAATTTACAGTGTGAGAGCACATGCTTTCCAAAGTCAAAGCAGACCTGGCTGCCAATGCCAAGCTCAGCTGTGAAATCCTACATTGATGACTGGGTGAGACGCGTCCGCGGACACACGGCACACAGTGTTTAACTTATTTATTTATTCATTCATTCTTTTTATATGATCATTTATTTCATGTTTAGTTTATATGAATTCACATTAGTTCATAAAAATTATAACTTATTTGTTTATTTATTTATTCATTGATTAATTTCATATGATCATTTATTTCATATTTAGTTCATATAAATTCACATTAGTTCATAAAAAGTATCATTCATTCATTCATTCATTCATTCATTTATTCATTCATTTGTTCGTTTCATATGATAATTTATTTCATGTTTAGTTCATATGAATTCACATTAGTTCATAAAAAGTATCATTCATTCATTCATTCATTTATTCATTCATTCATTCATTCATTCGTTCGTTTCATATGATCATTTATTTCATGTTTATTTCATATGAATTCACATTAATTCATAAAAAGTATCATTCATTCATTCATTTATTCATTTCATATGATCATTTATTTCATGTTTAGTTCATATAAATTCACATTAGTTCATAAAAAGTATCATTCATTTATTCATTCATTCATTCATTCATTTGTTCGTTTCATATGATAATTTATTTCATGTTTAGTTCATATGAATTCACATTAGTTCATAAAAAGTATCATTCATTCATTCATTCATTCATTCATTCATTCATTCGTTCATTCATTCGTTTGTTTAATATGATCCTTTATTTCATGTTTAGTTCATATGAATTCACATTAGTTCATAAAAAGTATCATTCATTCATTCATTCATTCATTCATTCATTCATTCATTCGTTCATTCATTCGTTTGTTTAATATGATCCTTTATTTCATGTTTAGTTCATATGGATTCACATTAGTTCATAAAAAGTATAATTTATTCATTCATTCATTCATTCATTCATTCGTTTCATATGATAATTTATTTCATATTTAGTTCGTATGAATTCACATTAGTTCATAAAAAGTATCATTCATTCATTAGTTTCATTGTCATTCATTAATTCATTAATAAATTCATTAATAGTTTCATTTATTCGAATATCCATTATGAATGAATTATTTATTTATTTTATATGATCATTTATTTTATATTTAGTTCATATGAGTTCACATTAGATCATAAAAATTATAACTTATTCATTTCATATGATAATTCATTTCATATTTGGTTCATATTTACATTAGTTCATAGAAAATATAATTCATTCTTTCATTTATTCATGTATTTATTTTATATGATCATTTATTTCATATTTAGTTCATATGAATTTACATTAGTCCATAAAAATATCATTCATTCATTCATTCATTCATTCATTCATTCATTCATTCATTAATAGTTTCATTCATCCATTCATTCATTCATTCATTCATTCATTCATAGTTTAATTTATTCATTCATTATGAATGAATCATTAATTTTTTTCAGGTGATCATTTATTTTATATTTAGCTCATATGAGTTCACATTAGTTCATAGAAAATATAATTCATTCTTTCATTTATTCATGTATTTATTTTATATGATCATTTATTTCATATTTAGTTCATATGAATTTACATTAGTCCATAAAAATATCATTCATTCATTCATTCATTCATTCATTCATTCATTCATTAATAGTTTCATTCATTCATTCATTCATCCATTCATTCATTCATTCATTCATAGTTTAATTTATTTATTCATTATGAATGAATCATTTATTTTTTTCATGTGATCATTTATTTCATATTTAGCTCATATGAGTTCAAATTAGTTCATAAAATTATAATTCATTCATTCAGGGCTAATACTTTTGACCCCAACTTTAAGTGGTTTATCATATAAACGTGTGCATTTGTTGTGTTTGTGAGGTTTCTGGAGGAAAAGATGCAGGAGCTGGAGGATCGGCACCGGCAGGAGCTGGAGTCTCTGCGGACGGAGAAATCTGACCTGCAGGCTCTGGTCAGCAGACAGAGTTCAGTGATCCGCGAGCTGGAGAATCAGCTGAGCAGAGCTACCGGAAACAGCACAGCACTTCAGAGACAGCAGCAGGACCTGATGGAGAGCATGCGCAGCCTCCTCAGCCTCTGTGCTAAAGACGCCTCTACAGCAGGTAAGCACACTACCACATCTACTGAGCTTACTCTGCGATGTAAAAATGTGCTTATTTGATCATAAATTCCCATTGAGTTTCCTATGGGAGAAATGACCGGGGTTAATAAATGACAGAAAACATCTAGAAATCAATGGAAGTGAACAAGAGCGGAAGACTAGAGCCACAAAGATTTCAATCTCTGCGACTGCATGTATGTGAAGCGTGTTTAAGAGAGTGCTGCATGATGTTATGAGAACTATAGACGTTTTTAGTTTTAATGGGTAGGGCAGAATTTTGTTTCAAATTGATATGAAATAATGTCAGTTCATAAACATGTACACACAAATACATATACATCACATGCATGCAAACATACATACATATAGTCAATTACTTAGTGACTTAGTGAGTTAGTGATTTTGTTACCTACTTAGTGAGTTAGTTGCTTAGTAAACTAGTTAGTTAGTGGGGTAGTGGCGTTGTGAGTTTGTGACTTAGTGAGTTTGTGACTTAGTAATTTAGTGGCTTAGTGAACTAGTTAGTTAGTTAGTTAGTTAGGTAGTTAATTAGTGAGTTAGAGACTTAGTTAGTTAGTGGCTTAGATTTGACTTAGTGACTTAGTTACTTAGTGAGTTAGTGTCTTAGTGACTTAGTTAGTTACTTAGTGAGTTGGTTGCTTAGTTTTGACTTAGTGAGTTGGTGACTTAGTGACTTAGTTAGTTAATTAGTGAGTTAGTGGCTTAGTTTTGACTTAGTGAGTTAGTGACTTAGTGACTTAATTAATTAGTGAGTTGGTGGCTTAGTTTTGACTTAGTGAGTTAGTGACTTAGTTTGTTACTTAGTGAGTTAGTGGCTTTGTTGACTTGGTGACTTAGTTACTTAGTGACTTATTAACTTAATGACTTTGTTACTTAGTGACTTAGTGAGTTAGCAGCATATTGAGTTAGTGACTAAGTGAATTAGTTGGTTGTTTAGTGAACTAGTTAGTTACTTGGTGACTTAGTAAGTTAGTGACTTAATGAGTTAGTTGCTTAGTGATTTAGTGGCTTAGTTGGTGACTTAGTTACTTACTGAGTTAGCAGCATAGTGAGTTAGTGACTAAGTGACTTGGTTGTTTAGTGAACTAGTTAGTTACTTGGTGATTTAGTGAGTTAGTGAGTTAGTTAGTTGCTTAGTGAACTAGGTAGTTAGTGACTTGTTGACTTAGTTACTTGGTGAGTTAGCTGCTTAATGAACTAGTTATTTAGTTAGTTAGTTAGTTAGTTAGTTAGTTAGTTAGTTAGTTAGTTAGTTAGTTAGTTAGTTAGTTAGTTAGTTAGTGACTTGGTTAATTATTGAGTTAGCAACTTAGTGAATAATTTAGTTCTTGGTGAACTAGTTAGTGAGTTACTGACTTAGTTACTTAGTGACTTAGTGAGTTAGTCAGTTACTTAGTGACTTGGTAAGTTAGTCACTTAGTGAGGTAGTGATTTAGTGATTTAGTGACTCAGTGAGTTAGTGACTCTGTGAGTTAGTTACTTAGTGAGTTAGTTCATTTGTAACTTATTTGTTATGTAGGGAGTTAGTTACTTAGTGTGTTAGTGACTTAGTTATTGAATTTAGTTGCGAGTGAGTTAGTTACTGAGTTAGTGACTTAGTTAATTAAGTAGTGAGTTAATTAGTTGGTGACTAGTTAGTGGCTTGGTTACTTAGTAAGTTAGTTATTGTTGGTTATTGTGTTATTTAGTTAGTTAAAATTATCTATTTCGTGAATAAACATTACTCTCTTTATTTCCTTCTTTCTTTATAATTAATAATGATCTCCTTTTACTTGCTAATTTGCATTTTTTAATTCATTCAAATATAAAATATTTTTAATTAATTCAAATATATAAACCATATCAATTAGATCTGGTCTAAATGAGATCCAAAATATATATGCTATGTGATATTTCCCTGTAGTTACCAAGCTGGTCTGGACCACCTCTGTTAGTTCTGGTAGTAAACCTTCCCAAGAAATAATGGTGCGTGACATGAAAAAAGCATCTGTCGGGCAGGAAGTGAAACAGAACTGAAAATACAGCATGCTGAAGAAGAAACCTTCAGATAGGAACGGCCTGTTACACAGCATGCACGTTATCAATGAATGAAGCGTCTTCCTTTGCAGTGTGAAATGTGTGGTTTTGTGGTAAATGATCATGTTTAGCAGTGCCGTGGAGCTCAGCGGATGTGTCTTATCACGCTCCAGCACACTGCCTGTGGTGAACAGTTGACTGCGTGTCAGACAGGGCTGATTGAGTTACAGGCGCAGTGATCTGCGGTTCAGACCTCACGCTCTCCTTCACACCAGCAGGAGTTCAGGGGTCTGGACTCATTGCCCTCATGACCCCTGGTGTGACCCCCATCCCCACGTCTGCCTTGTGTATCAGTGCTCAATACTAGGCTTCTTCCTATATCAAACTTTGTAATTGTGATTTATTGCTGACGATTTTAGTATGATATTCAGTACACTCTCAGAGAAAAAGGTGCACGGTGATACAAATAAATTCCTTGAGGTACAGTTTTGTACCTTTGTAAAAGCTGTACCTTAAGGCTCAATCCCGATTCTCCCCCTTAGCCCTTCCCCTTACCCCTCGTTTTGCACGTGCCCGTGAAGGCGTAGGGCTAGAGGCGGATTTATACTTCTGCGTCAAGCGCATGCGTATGCTACGGCACTGACGCATAGCCCTTCGCCGTGGCCGTCGCCGTCACTGACGTGCACCTCTTAAAAAATGTAACTACACGTCGCAACAACGCGTAGCGCAAGCTCTATGATAGGTCGGCTTGGTAGCGCTGACGAGTCTGGGCGGAACCGAGAGCCGCGCAAATGGCGCGAGCTGGACGCGAGCTATTGTTTACAAGTCTGGAGTCCCGTGAAGGAGCTCCGGATGGAAAGTTTTGTTTTGTGTTTACCTCATAGTTAAAGTTGTTGCACGTCCGCCGGTTCCTGCCTCAAAATGAGCGAGTTTGAGCCACTTGTACAACCCGGAAGCGTTCAGGAAAAGCAAAACAGCAGAGAAGAAACTCGACACAGAGGAACATTTACACCTCACTGCCCACTAGCGTTTCGGAAGTGTTAATGCAGACCAACAGAGACAGCGCGCAGAAGTATAAATGCACAGCTGCGCGCGTTGCATGTGCCGTGAGTTACAACGGCCACTTGACGCAGAAGTATAAACCAGGCTTAAAGGCGGATTTATACTTCTGCGTCAAGCGCACGCGTATGCTACGCCGCAGCCTACGCGTCGACGCATAGCCCTACGCCGTGGCTGTCAGCATCCCTGACGTGGACCTCTCAAAAAATGTAACTACACATCGCAACGACGCGTAGAGCAAGCTCTGTGATTGGTCGGCTTGGTAGCGCTGACGAGTCGGGGCGGGACCGAGAGCCACGTGAGCGACGTGAGCCCAATGGAGCGATTGTTTACAAGTGTGGAGTCCCGTGAAGAAGCTCTGGATGGAAAGTTTTGTTTTGTGTTCACCTCATAGTTAAAGTTGTTGCACGTCCGCCGGTTCCTGCCTCAAAATGAGCGAGTTTGAGCCGCTTGTACATCCCGGAATCGCTTAGAAAGAACAAAACACAGGCGAAGAAATTCGACTCAGAGACACATCAACGCCTCACTGCCAACTAGCGTTTTGGAAGAGTAATGCAGACCAACAGAGACAGCGCGCAGAAGTAAAAATGCAAAGCTACGCGCGTTGCATGCGTCGTTGGTTATGCCGGTCACTTGACGCAGAAGTATAAACCAGGCTTAAGGGCAAGAAGTATACACCCCTTCACACCAAGACTTTTCTGGACCACACTTGAAACCAAGGTGTAAGAAAAAATTCCCAGAATACACCAGCCACAGCTGCACCCGGAAGTAAAGAGATCCAAAAATGTGTATTTTTTGTCATCATTATGAATTTTTACAACAAAAAAGCTCATGATTTATTATTCATAACCGCGTTCCTGTTTTACTGTCATGCTTAAAAAAAAAAAAGACGCTAAAATAAAAACTGCAAAATTTCGCAGTGTAGGGTTGGTGTAGCAACGCGGGGAAGCGATCACAAATTGAGGAGCAGGGAAGGGAGGCGGGGTGGTGGAGCGACAACGCGGGGAAGCCTTCACAAACTGAGGAGCGATCACAAACTGAGGAGCGGGAAAGGGGGCGTGGTGGAGCGACAACGCGGGTAAGTCTTCACAAACTGAGGAGCGATCACAAACCGAAAGCTGCGAGAGCGTCAAAGTAGTCAGAAGTCATTCATTTTTAATGAGAACCGGCGGCGAGGAACAGCGCGGCGCGTCTTCTCCGGTGTGAGCGTCGAGGAGAGTTGAAATCAAGTCAACTTTATTGTATGAGCTATGATGCGGTTCGGCGGCAAGCAATCAGAATGAAGTAGTCCACCGCTTGAGAGGAGTTCAGAGAACACAGACCTGTGAACTTTGGTTCCGACCACAGTTGTTCCCAAGAGTTTGATTATTGCGGTTGCCAGATTTTTAATTATTGAAAATCGCGATGACGTGGGGCCCCCTAATCACGCGGGACCCCCTGCGGTGCGTGCCTTGCAGGCCCGTCTGCTATGCCACTGAGTGTTGGACAACTCCTTCTTTATTACAATATCTATGAAAATAAGCATGACTGGAAAGGCAAAGTGATTTTATAAATAATTTCCAGATTAAAACATCATCATTTAAAAGCAAATGTTTAAAGAAACTCTTAAACATTAATTATTAAGTTCTGTAACACAAGGCAACTGCTAAAACAAAACTATAGGTATTGTAAACTAAACATATAAGGCATTTTTAATAAACATTTGGTAAGCATTTTTGATCAACATTTTCAGTATTTATATCAGCACCTTTTGCCGTTTGCTTTCCACTACGCACTGGCAAAAGTCCTGTACATGCAAAGTGTTCATGCAGACATTTTACTAATGTAAAACTAATCAGTGCATGGTTGCCATACACAATAAATGCGCTATATAAATACACATTGCATTACAAATACTCCAGAAGA